GGGGGGGTGTTGGATGTGCTGTGTGCATCAGATCCGCGTCGGTTCCCGCTCAGTGACCTGGTGTGTGAGGCAGTGAGGCTGCTGAACATGACCCCGCAGTCCATCCTGAGGCTCCTCGACAAAGTCACGTCAGGGAGGTACGTATGCACCGAACGAAAGGCACACACTCACATCCATCCAGCCACCTCACGCCCGGTTTACTTATTGTCGTTGTTCAGCGGGCCGTCCTCCCCGGCCGCCGTTCCCCTGCCCTCCACCAGCAACACCACCACCACGACCAAGGCCACCAGCCAGCTTACCACCCTGGTGGCGCGAGTGCCCACTGAGGAGTTGCCACCATGCTGCCTGCACGTCAAGGCGAGGGACGTCTTGGACGGCGCGGAGGGGGATGTGGTACTCATTGACACGGCGCCGCCGCAGCTGCGGTTCACCGACGGCCTCATCGGGAGGGTGACGGTGCTCCAAGTGGATATTGAGGACACACAGGTTGGCTGAGCCAGCATCCAGCCAGCAACACGTGTGAGTGTTCCCTTTTTCTCTTTCTCTCTGTTTGTACGTCGCATGCAGTCGGTGAATGGCCTCATCGAGAGCTGCCTGGCCACCCAGCGCGCCCTCAGCGACACCACCCACATGACGCTGTTCGCCATAGCCAACCAAGACGGCACCATCATGGACCACAGCCACACGGACGACAGCGAGGCCCCCACGCCCCTCTCATCAGCCCCCGCCACCCCACACGACACACGGAGTCCCAGAGAGCCGCTGGGGCGGCTCGTGGGCACCTTAGTCCGGCAGGGTGTCAGAGGTGAGGGACGGGGAGCCACTCGATGCGACAGGTCAATTATCCATTGGTTCGGTTGGCTTCGTGTTGTGTTGTGGCTGGTCGATCCTTCATGCAGGAGTGGCGTTGCTGAGTGGGGGCATTGAGGCGCTGGTCAAGGCGACAGACGTGGCGACAGTGTTTGGCGTAGAGATGTTGGACAACCTGACAGTTACGGTGAGCCATATACACTGAGGGGGCGACGTCTGCTTGTCTGGCCATTCGTTCGTTCGGTTGTGTGTGTGTGTGTGTGTGTGTCTGACCTGGCAGTGCGGGTGGAGTGACGGCGAGCCCATTGCTGATGTCGTGGGTCCAACGACACCCGGCTACTCCTGCACCGACATCGACACGGGCAAGGATATGACCGTCTACCGATACACCGACCACACTGCCCAGGTAAACAGGTGCACTTACTGCGACCTCTGTCACGCCGGTATTCTCTCTCTCTCTCTCTGTGTGCGTGCGTGTGTGTGTTTGCGACTGCAGAGTGCGAGGGAGGTACGTGTGTTGGAGCGGCTCTATGGCTGCCCCGCTGTGCTGCCTGTGGTCACGTGTGTCACGTCAAACAAGAGGCGCACTTGTATCTCAGTGCAACACGTCAAGGGCAAGACGGTCGTCCAGCTCCGGTCAGAAAAAGGAGAGAGGGAGAGAGGGAGGGAGATCAGGGAGATATTTGTTTGTTGTGGCTGCTGTGTGTGGATGGGTGCAGTGATCGTGCCAAGGAGGCCGGCGAGAGCGTGCAGCTTCGAGATGAGGCGTTGGCCTCGATTGCGCGTGAGATACTCATGCAGATCGATGAAATACAGAAGAGGTATGGAGGACAGACAGGCGGGGAATGATGGGAGTGTCCATGGGCGTGTGCTGTGGGCTGTGTGCGTGTCAGAGGGCTTGCTGTTCTGAAGCTGACGCTCGAGGACTTAGTGGCCGTCCCGGCCTCCTCGCCAGACGGCAGGAGGTACTACAGGGTCTCCCTCCGCCTCCCCATAGATGCCACCTTCCCAAGGTACGGACTGTACACTCAAGGTACGGACACACACACAACGACAAACATGACAGGTGCATGAATGCTCTTGATGCTGCCTATAGGCTGTCTGCCCGTCGGCGTTCATTTCATTCTCAGCTGTGACTTGTTGTTGTCTTTGCTCGAAGACGATGGAAGCGCAAGACAAGGAGAGGCACGCGTCGAGCAAGGACATTCTGCCCGTTTCAGACAGAGAGGTGGGACGGAATGTGCTTTGCTTGAGGCTTCACGATGACTGGCCAGCAAAACATGTTTGCTTGTGTTTCGCTTTGTGTTGCCGCTTTGCAGTTGATGCAGTTGGTGACGGAGGACCTCAAGCGAACTCGACAGGACTAAGCCCTCTTGAGGTTCACTACTGCGCGATGAAACAGTATCACTACAAGCAAAGGTATCCGCACAACACCTCCCAGGCACAGAAAGGGCAGTTCAGTCGGTCTTGATGATGCATGGCTGCGTGTGTGTGGCTCATTAGGTCACAATGAGATCATCGCGCCGTTCTGCCTCTTGGTGCCCCGCCTGACCCCTGCAGCCCTGCTCGGCTGTCTAGACAACATCATCTACAAGATGGCGCCACACGTCTGCGACGATGACGCCCAGCCCATGAGCCTGTCCCCGCAGCAGCTCATGTCGCAGGCCACCAGGTGGGTTAAGTGGGATGGGGAAGAGGCGTCAGTCACATCACAGGCGTCATGATGTATATCCGTGCTCGTCTTGTCTGTGTGTGTCTGTGTGTGTCAGAGTCCTGCTGCAGTTCCATGATCCGGAGTCAAGCAGTCGTCTGGACAGCCTGGACCTGACGCCCGACCAATACGGGCACTCGTGAAGTGAGCCACACATTGGCAGCCTCTCTCCCGTCCACACACAGACAGAGATCGTGTGTGTGTCTCGTGTGTGTGCGTTCAGATGGTTCTCGACGCTGTACGCTTCATGTTTCAAGAACGTCTTCACCCTGCTTGCCCTCTGGCGGGAATGCCTCAGCCGGCATGTACGGACTCACGACACAACACAACACAAAATACGATAAAATCAACTCCTTTTCATGTGTTATCATGTCAGGCGTCAGAGACCATGGTCTTCTTCGTCGCAGCTGCCTGGCTGACCATGCATCGCCAGCTGCTGCGGAGTGAGGGCAGTGAGGGCAGCGGGCAGGTCTACAGCTTCCTGTTTGGGGTCTTCGACGACGACTGCAGTCCGTCGACAGAGGGGGCGGCCGACGGACGGGGTGAGCGAAGGAGGGGAGAAACGGCACACACGACGAGGTGATCTTGGCATATTTGTGTGTGTGTATGTGTGTGTGTGTGTGTGCATAAGAGCGTCCTTCCTTCCCTTTGCCGAAGCTGATGTCGGAGGCGCTGGAGCTTCGCGTGGCCACGCCGTCATCGTTTCTCGCGCTCCTGGCGGCCGTGTCGGGGCGGTACGCATGCACCGAAACGCACACGGCCCTTCTGTCGGTGTTCAGCCGCCCGTCTTCCTCGGCCTCTCCCCCCGCCCCCTCTACGAGAGCCACCACCGCCACCAGCCGAGCGGACACAACCCACTCCGACGGCGACGGCAGTCCCACCAGCAGCATCCACCTATCCATGGCCGCTCGAGCCCGCCACTCTGTTCTGCCTTCCCGTCGAGGTCAACGATGTCTTGGCGGCCGTGGAGCCGAGCTTGGTGGATGTGGGTGTGACGTGGCGTGTGACGCTTGTCGACACGAGGCCGCTGGGCGTGCGGCCCAACGAGTTGGATGAAACAATCGAGGTGGATGCGGTGGGGGTGCTGGTGTACCACGTCGACCCAGACGACACAGAGTTGCGTGCATCCACGAAGTACACACGAATGCACGGAAAAATGTGTGGTGCGCATATATGGATGCATCGCTCAGTCGGTGGATGGTCTGGTCAAGAGCTGCCTCGACGCACAGAGAGACCTCCGCCGCTGCCATGCCGTCACCACACAGTGCAACACAACAAAACACTACAACACACAGCGAGTCCTGCCTCTTTCCTACTTCCTTCTCTTGTGTGTATGTGTCCCACCATAGAGTGGAGAGCGATGACTATCGCTGCCTACATCTTATATCTGTTCGGAATCTGATTGAATGCCTCGTCCCCGATGCATGTATGTCTGCAAAGGACCGCTGAACGATGAGTGGTCTGCGTATGATGAACCGTCGGTGGTCTTCGCAATGTCTGTTGTCATTACACCTGTGCACCACCCCTGACCTCACCACACTCTCGTAGCCAAGTTTTCCATTGGAACGATCCTGAGCACCTGCGAGCCTGAACCTGCTGCGCGCTTCAGATCTTCTTCCAATTCTCCGGCAAGCTTCCCGGCGACGTCTGTGATGGCCAAGAAGCCACGGCTCATCCATCAACAGGGGCGAGGGAGGGAGAGAGCAGCGTTGTGATTCATCCACCGATGGGTGCACCTGCGCCCAGCAGCAAGATCAGCCTGAGCGATGACGAGTCCCCCGCTCTCCTCCGTCTGTCGGGCGCTCAGCAGGGTGTGCGCCTGCCTCAGTGTGTGGAGGATGCCTACGGCAACACCGCCCACGCAGGGGCCGTCGTCGACACGCGGAGGCCGGAGGGAGCAGATGTGGAGTGCATCCAGCTGAGGGACCTGCTCGTCGGTCTGGCTCGCCGCATTGGTCTTGAGAAGCCGATCTCGTGGACGCTGTATGGATGCAGACAAATCGTATATGAGGAGGTAACTACACGCGCATTCACAGACATCGGACACACAAACCACCAGATGCTGTCTGTTTACCATGGTGTTGTGTGGGGTTGTGGCGTGTGTGTGCAGGTGTTGGCATCTCTGCAGCTCGACAAGCTGTCCGCCGACCAGGCAGAAGCCCTGAGGGAGCATGCCCGGCAGCTGTACGCCGATGCATTCACACAGCAGCTCTGCTCCGTGTACATGTGGAAGTACCTCAAAATAGTGCTGCTCGTACTCGCTGACAAAATAGAGGTGCGTGGCTGGGCGGGTGGGGAACGCACCGAGGCACAGTCTTTCTCTCCTTTTTTTCTCAGAATACGAGTGAGGAGCTGGCCAAGGACGTGCAAGCGATCCGCGATGGCGTTCCGCCCAACGGCGTCAGCAAGGAGAGATATGCACAGCTCACAGAAGGCGCGCCTGATGGCTACTGGCCCCCTCTCCCGCCCCTGCCCCCCGCACGGCCCGAGAGTGAGACCTTTGTCCACTTCGCTCAAGGGGCCTTCAACATTCTCATGATGACCAGGCATCGACGCCTCTTTTGGGACCTGGAGATGCAGGCCATGCCGGCCTCCAATATGGACCGCCTGCTGACGCTCTTCCGCCCAAACATGATGACGGAGGAACTGATGGATCAAGGCGGTCAGGTCCAGCCGACGCTCACCATCACCGGCGCGCCCGCCATCAATGGCACCTACACGATTCGACCGGCACCAGAGCAGACAGCGAGCGAGCGCAACCCACCGGAGGAGGCGACCGCGTTCGTGTGTGGCACGGTGACGCTCGAGCGGCTCGTTTATCCGCAAGGCCAGGGCAAGGTGGGCGGACTGTGGGTGGCCCATGAAGTGAGACCAAGTCTGGAGCCTTCCCTCCAAGGGCTGGTCACAGTCGACCTCCCTACGTGCATCGCCTTTGCTCACATCAAGGAGGACGCGTGCGTCCCCGACCATCTGCTGTCCCACCCCGCCGCAGTCAACCCCGCCTTCGAGACGAGCGAGTGGTTCGCTGTCTGCCCCAAGGGGGAGATCACCAAGCTGGATGGCGTCACCATGACCACCACCCTGCCGCTGCTCGTCTATGTGCCCCGGTCGACAGTGAATGCGACGACGCACGAGCCGGGGATCGTCAGGGAGCCGCAGCAGGACAGGCTGCTGTGGTGCGAGTCGCTGTCTGGGTGTCTCAAAGGGGCCAGCAGCCCTCCCGTGGCCTTCTATGTCAATGCAAGCATGATGCGGCACCTGCCGGCCTCAGCCCGACATACCGAGCGGCTCGTCAGCACCACCGACAGCAGCAGCAGCAGCAGCAAGAGAGAGGAGGAGGAGCGATCGTCGCCCATTCTGATCAGCGAGGGCGAGCCCGCGGCGGCGCCGCGTTTGAGTGACGAGTACGTCACCATGCCCTTCACGGAGTGGCCGTTTGCCGCCGTCCTGGCTCTGCTCGAGGACGGCCGCCGCATTGTCGGCGACCATCCGCGAGGCTACGGGGCATACGTGTACGCCGTCCTCGACGAGAGGCGAGTGCGCGGGCCATGCAACACGTGTGGCAAAGAGCCGCCGCAGCCAAAGGGCTCGGAGGACGCCCCCGCCCCCTTGGTGCACCTCCTGAGGTATACCGAGTTGGCCAAGAGAGACCTGACGGGCTCAACAACGGCCGCCCTGGTGGATGCACACGCGGCGTACATTCGGGTAGCGGGTGAGGGGCTGTTTGTGACGGACGACACGGACGTGACCCGATGGGAGTGCGGCGCGTGCACGCTTAACTTCATCGAGTCCTGCAGGAGTGTGCCCAACAGGTAGGCACACATGACACATGAGTGACTGAATGGATGGATTGGGTGTGGTTTTGATGCATGAGTGTGTCTGTGTCTGTTCGCACAGGCCACCATCTTCGGCGGAGGAGATGAAGGAGATGGGAATGCGTCTCCTTTCGGCATCGGCCTCCCTGAACCAAAGGCGCAACAGGCAAGGAGGCCACGCAAACATACACAGAAGTGGCTTAATTCTTCCCTTTTTCATCAACAGCGGCGCCTCTCGCGAGCCCCCGGCCGCCAGCAGCATCTTCCGCGGCATCTTCACTGCCAAGGACAAGACCAAACCCGCACCCACACCAAAGGCGAAGCCGACATCCAGCCAGCCGCAACGGATCACCAACGCCGCCCTGCCCAGCCCGCCACCCACCCCGCCCACCACACTCGCCACCACCGTCACAGTCGAGTCCATCCATGAAGCCTTCCCCGACATCGCCACCGTCACGTCGGGTAGAGAGGGCGACAAAGAGCCCTCCGATGAGACGCTGGCCGTCGTGCGGGCCTTCCTGCAGCACAAGGGAGGGGCGGCGGAGGGCGAGGGTGTCGGCTGTGTCGAGTCGAGTGAGTGCGATGGGGCCCAGGAGCGGGAGACCTACCTGCGGGC